ATGGATTGGCAAAGTGGCAGCATCAATGGGCTCAAGCATCATTAACAATTGTGAGGTTGGCCTAGGACCGGGCAGTGTTTGGTTCTGTTGTGCATGTGTCATAGGGTTGCGATGAGTCGGTACTGACTTGACGACACCTAACAACAACAATGTCCTAACATAGGAGCCCTCGTAGCGTGGTAGTTATCAGTCTGGCTGCTCACTTCAAGGTTTGAAATTACCAGCCGTTCCTCAGGAGAAAGACAAGGCTTTCTACTCCTGTAAAGATTTACAGCCTTGGAAACCCTATTCAGGGTCACTATGAGTTGGAATCAACTCCACGGCACACCACCACCATGTCCTAGCATGTATACTACAGCTATTGTTGTTAAGTGCCTTTGAGTTGGTTCCGACTCATAGTGACCCTGTATAAGGTTTCCAAGGAGCAACTGGTGGATTTGAACTACTAACCTTGTAGTTAACAGCCCAATGCCTATCCTACAGTGTCATACCAGCACTCCATACTATAGTTGCTGGTGGTGGTATACCATGGAGTCAGTTCAGACTCATAGCAAACCTGCATAGGGTTTCTGACACTGTAAATCTTTACAGGAGCAGAAAGCTTCATCTTTCTCCCCCAGAACAACTAGTAGTTTCGAACTGCTGACCATGAAGTAACCTGTAGGCTACCAGAGCTCCCTAGACAGATAGATTAGATAGTTGTGTTAAGGGCCATCAAGTTTTCTTGAAACACAACCACAACCCTTCATTTACATATTGCCATGCCTGCTGTCATGCTGACAAATAGCAGATGTGAGCAGTTGTAACAGAGACGTATGTCCTGAAAACTCTAAAATATTTACCATTCAACCCAGTACCCAAAAAGTTTGCTGCCCTCTGACTGCAACACTGATATTAGTTAATAACAATTATATTAATATCAATTAATTTTCTTTTCAATTACCCTTCCCCATCTTAAATGCTTTATGAGAACTTCTTTCATTTATGATCCTAACATGAACTCATATGAAATGTTTAACTAACAGAACTAAAATCCAGCATGAGAATAACCTCTCGTCAGTCAGTACGAAAGGAAGCTCCATTTTAGCTTCCAAGGAATGAGTAAGCGGATGGGTTTTTGGTTTTGTTTTTTAAATTTGCTTTCCTTGGGAAATTTTTTTTAGCACAGTCTTGATTTAGAACTTGAGTCTGTAAATCTAAGACTATGCTCATTGTTACTATAAAATACATGTGGCAGCATTTCAGGTCCTCTGAAGAATAACCTACACATCTTTAGTGTCAAAAGATAAATGTGAAGAATACCATGACAACATAGCCAATGGAGTCCTCTGCTCAACCCAACTCCCAGAAAGAAGATTTTCATGAGGAAGAGAGAAATAATTTGCACATTATCCTCCCACTAGGAATGACAATGAACCACATGAATTAGTTCTACTGATAGAAGTTAAAAGATACTCAGGTAGGTCTTAAGGAAGCACATTCAATCATGACTCACCACGTGGAGACTTGAAGACCCCTGTTAGTACATACTTGGACCCAAGCAATTCTTCCATATAACCCATTTAAACCACCTTCTCTCCTTGGCAAGAAAATAAAGATAAAAGTCTACCTAAAAATTCTATGAAATATTTTAATCCTACAAAGGACTTGATTACTATTAGGAAAATCAACAATAAAATTCAGCCTTTTTAATCAACTGAACACATATCAAACTGTTGAACATTGTGACGTGACATTATTTATCCATAGAAAACGTATCCTCATTCAATGGAAAATAAATTTAAGTATGTCTTGAAAGACTGAAAGACATGTTACAGGCAAGAGTCAACCCAATGTAGTATTCAAGACATCAAAACTGTGCCTATTAGAAACATTTTAAATAGCCTTTTCTTCTACCAAGAATAGACTTTTCCTTAGGAAAAAAGCAAAAATGTCAATTAAGTTATGGAAACATGATTAATTTCTTTATGCCTTTCAATATTCCACTGCATTTTACAAAGGACTGACATTCTTTAAATAAAGAACCAATTCATTCCAGTTCAACCCCTACTGAGAATTAGCCTTTCCACCCCAGATATACTAAATCAAAATCTATATTTTAACAAGATCCTGGAGATTTATAAGAATCACCTGATGATGGTAGGGTGTGTGCCAAGTTGGTTTTGACTCATAACAACTCTCTATAGGGTTTCTGAGGCTCTAAATCTTTACTGAAGCAGAAAGTCTCTTCTTTCTCCCAAGGAACAGCTGACAGATTTGAATTGCTGACCTTTCAGTTAGCATTGAAATTCACAATCCACTACACTACCAGCGCTCCTTACAAGAATCACCTAGGGATATTGTTAAAATGCAGATTCTAATTTAGTGTATCTTGGGTGGAAATGCAAATTCTCACTAGAGGATAGAAACAGAATGATCTGGTTTGACACCCTACATAAAATAACGTGAACTGTATAGGCAGAACTGGCCTGAATATTCTCTTCACATACTTCTTTAGTACTTGGAATAAAACGACAAACCACCAGGATGCAACGGAAAAAAAAAATACAGCTCCTTTCCAAAGATGGTACTGAGCTGACATTCTATTTAAGAACTAAAATTAGAAATAAAATAAAAAATTTCTCACTATCAATTCTATTTTCAGAGATTCATTAAAATTTAAGTCATATTTGACATGTCAGAGATTTTAGCCCAGTGACAGAAAAAAGAAGTGACTCGGGAGATCATCCCAATTATCTCTATGGCTTGGAACACGTGTTGAGCACAGCTGAAAATGAAGAGGGAAGTGACAGGTGGAAATGTAGAGACTTCCTGACTCTGTCCAGTCTTGTACAGCTTTGCCAGGGTACCTCTGAAAGAGTGTATTTCAAATGTATTTTCCTTCCTCTATTTAAATTTTTATCAAACAGGGAAAGGCTCATCAGCACTCCAATGCCAGGGTTGTTGTTGTTGTTAGGTGCCATCAAGTCGGTACCGACCCATAACAACTTATGCACAGCAGAACGAAATACTGCCAGATCCTGGGCCAACCTCACTACTGTAGCCACGCTTGAGTCCATCAATGCTGCCACTAGGCCAACCCATCTTGTTGGGGGTCTTCCTCTTTTTCTCTGAATTCCAGGGTAGAAATCAATAATGCCAAAATAATTTCTTCTTTATAAAAAAATTCAAGAAAGTAAATACCAAAAAAAAAAATAAATAATGGCAACCTCACCTATAGTTGTGTATACACAGTAGAGATGTACACAAAATAAATGTTCATTCAACAATGACAGAATGGTCCAGTGTTTCACATACCAGCCAAATAAATGCAATTATTTATTTTTTGCCCATTTTCCACAAAAATAAAGACATCACTGGGTGAGTTGCAAGTTACAAGGCATACCTCATTGAAATTCTTGGGACAAAATATCCAACAAACCTGCCCAAATACCCTGCCTCTCTCAGCCAATCATTGGTCCGTCTGAAAATCTGGATTAAGATCTATAAAGATTACTGTGTTTTGGAAACAAACCAAATCACTGTAGTATTCATTAATGGCCAAGAAACTCCCCTTTTTCCAAGTTCTAAAACAATTGCTTTTTACACAAAATTGGCCAGAACCAACTTCATTCAAACTTCTTTCAACAAATATCTACACTGTGCCAATACTAAAATTCCATCATAGGAACTACCACAATTATTTGGATCATTTTTGAATAAGAACAACAACACTTATTTCATTAACTGCTAATTGTACAACCACATTCTGATTATAAATACAGTTATATGAAATATTCCAAAATTGAATTCCTGCTTTCTTGGCTTCAAAAACAAACAAAAATTCCTACAAATCATAATATTTAATGTCTTGTACAAGAAAAATAACTATATAATCTTTGAAAATGATGCTTGAAGTGGGATAAATGTCCCACATCCATTTTCTGGAGACCAAAGAACTATCCCAAAACATTTTTTACAATTATCTGTACTAGAGATAAAGCCATCTCACTTTTTATGCAAATGATTTAACCAACAAGCGATCTGACTCATTTTCATTTATATCCAAAGCACTACATAAACTGTTTTAAACCATTTGACATCTATGATAGTGCCAGGTCATTTGTATGAATGGAAACTTGAAGGTTCTTGTCTTTTTATTTATTTATTTTTAATTTCTATAACACTTTCAGTCAAGCTCTTCTTAATATTTCAAAGGAGATTTTAAATTTAGATAACCCAGGCACACGGTGACTCTTCCTAAAAAAAATTACTGGTAACTTAGATTTCTGAAATCAAGAGAAGATACCCTATGGAAAAATGAAAAATTTATTGTCATTCATTGATCACCATTATTGATACAAAAGATGCTTTAAGGTCTGTCAGGAAAATAAATAATGGGAAAAATAATGTATACCATATTTTTTTGGGTTTTTTTCCAAATCTTTCCCAAGATATAAACAGAGGAAAGAATTTAATGGGATCACAATGCATATGCTCATACGTGCCCTCCAAACCACACTTTTTTTTCCGTAGGCATTAGAAAGAATAAAAGTTATCCATTAATTATACGGCATGCATCAGCAGTGCACTGGTGGGTTTAAACTGGGTTTTCAGTTATGTTTATGTACAGATAAATCTCTTCCTGAGTTGAGCTTCATCTTCAGTTGAGACCCAAATCACTTGCTTTCCTTTTCTGGCAAGGTACTTGACCATGTGATAAGGCAATCAGACATTTCAACCTCCTTCCCTTTTCAGCAGGTTGGTCCTCCTCAAGGTGATCCCCAATGTGACAGGTGCCAGGACAGGTGCCAGGTTCTAAAATGTGGTCCTGTAAAACTAGAAAGCAGGTTTCTTTGTTCATTAGTCTGAAGACTACAGAACTGTCTCATCATATATTTGGAGATCTTGAGGATTTCAGCTGAACAGATTCAAAATGGTCTTCTTTCTCCTATGGGGCAAAAACACAAAATCAACTCACTATAATTCCAATATGATTTTAGGATCTTAAGTGTCCAGAAGGAAATCATTTCAATCTCTGTACTTGTCACTTATAATTAGGATTTTACATTTTAAAGTGGGTGGCAGGTATAAAACAGGGTGCCTGCCTTGAAGGGTTCTTTTGATGCCTAGGAGATAAGAGAGACAAATCCAAAATAGAAATACATGATTACAAGATATATCAAAAGATGCAGCTTTGCTTCCTATGAATAAACCACTAAGGAAACACTTAAACTGGGTGCTTATAAAGGTAACTTGCTATGCTAAGGGTAGACAAAAAATAATTGACAGAAACGAAATATTATCAAGATAACATAGTCTTAATAATACAAAAATGGAAAGGACAAGTAAGGAAAATATTAATGTACTATAACAACATTTAGGTTCATAGATGTATGTTAGAAAAAGATTCTTTATACACGTCTATTAAAGGAGTCCTAGTTGAGTAACAGTCAAGCACTCAGCTACTAATTGAAAATTCTGTGGTTTGAACCCACCAAGTGCTTCACAGAAAAAAGACATGGCAGTCATCTTCTATAAAAATTACATCCCAAACCCAAGCCCATTGCAATGAGGCCATTCCAACTCATCGTGATCCCTCCTACCTTTCAGCTAGTAGGCCAAGCACTACCAGAGCTCCTTTATGAATGTCATAAAGATTGTTGTTGCTAAGCAACAGGGTTTCCAAGGAGCAGCTGGTGGGTTTGAACCACTGACCTTGCAGTTCAAATCGACTTTGCAGTGCAATTCATTATCCTGCAACACCACACCAGGACTCTGTCATAAAGATCGTAGCCCAGGAAACTCTATGGATCAGTTCTACTCTGCCCTACAAGGTTGATATGATCAGAATTGACTTGGTGGCTCACAAAATAATAGCATATCTACTAAAGATACTAGACAAGCCACCCTAGATATAAATTAAAATTTTAACTCAAATATATTATTTCTGGTATTTCTTAGATGATAATTCAAAACAGTCTACTAAAATAAACTATTCTTTTTAAAGATGAAAAAGAGAAATAAGAGGTAAGCTTTCCAAATACTGTTGAATGATGATGCATGGAAAGGAATATAATCATTGCAATAAAAAGGAATACAATAGGATGAGCACAAAACCAATGATCTCTCACGTAAAATATCACTCAATTCACAATAAAAGCTTTAAGGAAAAAAAAAAAAAAGAGGTAGGCTTTCCCTCAACATTTTGTTAGAGTAACTAAAAATTTTTAAGTCTCATGTTGATCTGTCATAACAATGATTTGGGTATAACCAATCATAATTCAATTGCTTATTTAGTACCCACAGTGTTCCAGGAATGGGGCTAGATTTTGTTGTTGTTGTTATGTGCCATAGAGTCAGTTCGGACTCATACCGACCCTGTACAGGGTTTCTGAGGCTGTATATCTTTATGGAAGCAAGAAGCCTCATCTTTTCTCCATGGAACAGCTGGTAGTTTCGAACTGCTAACCTTGCAGTTCACAGCCCAATTTGTAACCACTATGCTACCAGAGCTGCTTGGGACTAGACTTTAGAGATACAAAAAGGAGTACAACAAAATGTCTGCTCTCAAAGTGATCCCACTGTGTGACAGGAAAATACTTTAGGTTACTAGACATCAAACAAAACAGGAATATGAGGTTTATTGTCACCTTTCCTTCAAGAATATTAGATTCAAATTTTCTGGAAGGAAATTATGTTGATTATGCTCAAGTTAATATTCAAAGTGAAACATTGAAAGGTCTTTACAAAATCATTTTTGGTTCACAGGACTTAAGTCACCATGTCCAGTGCTAACAGTAGATTTTGCTCCTGTCACTGATATGGTAGGTCATCTATGTTGTTATTGTTGTGAAGTGCCATCAAGTTGATTCTGACCCATAGCAACCCTGTATAGGGTTTCCAAGGAACAGATGGTGAGCTTGAACCGCAGATCTTGTAGCTTAAACAGCTTTGCAATCTGGCGCATTAACCCACAGTGCCATACCAGGACTCCATCTATATGTACAGTAAACTGACTGGGGGCTTCCTGATGGCAAAAACTATCTCCATTCTTCCTTTTTACATTCCTAAGACAAGCAGCAAGGAGCTCTGGTAGCTTAGTGGTTACAAATAGGACTGCAAACCTCACGGTCAGCAGTTCAAAACTACCAGCTGTTCTGTGGGAGAAAGATGAGGCTTTCTGCTCCCGTAAAGATTTACAGCTTCAGAAACCCTGTACAGGGTCGCTATGAGTCGGAACCAACTCCATGGCACATAACAACAACAAGAAGAAGACAAGCAGCAGTCATGAAATCAAACGATGTATTGCATTAGGCAAATCTGCTGCATAAGACCTTTTTAAAGTGTTAAAGAGCAAACATGTCAGCTTGAGAACTAAGGTGTGCCTGACCCAAGCCATGGTATTTTCAATAACCTCATATGCATGCAAAAGCTGAACCGTGAATACGGAAGACCATAGAAGAATTGATGCTTTTGAGTTATGGTGCTGGAGGAGAATATTGAAAGTGCCATGGGCTGCCAAAAGAACCAAAAGATCCGTTTTGGAAGAAGTGCAGCCAGAGTGCTCCTTGGAGGCCAAAATGGCCAAACTTCATCTCTCATACTTCAGACATATTGTCAGCAGGGACCAGTGGCTGGAGAAGGATATCATGTTTGGTAAGGTGGAAGGTCAGAGAAAAAGAGGAAGACCCCCAATGAGATGGATTGGCCATGTGGCGGCATCGATGGACTCAAGCGTGGCAACAGTAGTGAGGTTGGCCCTGGATAGGGCAATGTTTCATTCTGCTGTGTATAGGGTCGTTATGAGTCAGTGCAAACTCAATGGCACCTAACAACAACAACAAAACATGACCCAGGGCCAGCTTAATGGTAGGTTTTCAATCAATGATTATAAAAGTGTATTAAAACACAGCATTGTAAAAGGAAAAACTGGATTGTAACTCAAAGATGTGACTTCCAGTTGCTAGCTAACACTCCATGGACAAGTAAGCTAACCTCTCTAGGTTTCGCTGACTGGTGTATTAAATAGGGAAGCCACACAAGATTATCCCTTCCAGCTCTAAATTCAAGAATCTACTCAAAAGTCAACTTATCCCAGAAGTTTCTGCTTAGCTTGTGGCTATGCTCCCTTCTCCTCTTTGTTCTAAAAAGCCCTACTCATTGTTTTAGTGTCTGTGTGTGTGTGTGTGTGTGTGTGTGTGTGTGTGTAAGAGAGAAAGAGATTGATAGATTTGTACAACAAACTAGATATTCCTTGAGATAAAGGTTTGTGTTCTATTTGACAGATCCTTAGAACCTGCAGAGTGGCTAACACAAAGTACCTCATAAATGACTGGAATGAACAAATGAAGGAAACTGAAAATATAAAAGAAACAAATTTCTTATCCCAGACTCAATAAAACAAAAAACATATAAAGACCTATGACCCTTTGCAAACTATATAACCAATAAATGACATATTCGACATTAAAAAAGATAACCCAGAATCCATCATATTAAACCATATGTTCCAATCCAAATCAAGGCAGTTCTAATTTATCATTCTTTATGGATTTTTCCCATTTGAATAAACTGTGGAACATTATTTTATTAGAAAGTTATGTGGCAACCAAGAAAGAGTAAAACCACATACATGCATACATGTATTTATACATACATCTTTGCAATCGTTTATATGTTGTTGTTGTTATTGGTGCCCTCAAGACAGTTCCGATTCATGAAGACACTTTGTGGGATTTCTGGGAGGTGACTGGTGGGTCTGAACCACCAACCTTTCAGTTAGCAAGCCAGTGCTTATCCTATGTGTTTGGGGGTGGGAGGAATTAACCGAGTCCTTACTCACCTTTGTATCTAAAGTAATCCCTGGCACAGTTGTTGCAAATGCATACTTTACAAAGAAAGTCAGATAATGTGAGACTAGAAATTACACCAATACAATGCAATCAAATCTGTCACAGTGATATGTAGAGTTACTGATCTACCAAGTAGCACATGAGTGTCCAAAGTAGGACATAATGTAAGTCAATTATGTTTCATCTTGAACTGCATTTTATGATTATTGTTAGGCATATTTGTTTTAGCTTTGCATTTGATTGGTTGATCTTTATTTTGGTTTAATTTTTATTTGCATATTGCTTAAAAGTTGCGTGGCACTGTAGGATAAGCATTGGACTGCTAACCCCAAGGTTGGTGGTTCAAGCCCATCATCCACTTTTCAAGGTCTCTGTGAGTTGGAACTGACTCGACAGCACTTAACAACAGAGTGAATGGGAGTACTGGTGTGGCGCTGTAGGATAAGCACTGTACTGCTAACCAGAAGGCATATATTTGGGGGTGAGAGGGTTTTACCAAGTCCTTACTCATCTTTGTATCTCATGTACACAGCGGTGTCTCAATAATTAAATGATGGATGACTGTTTGCCTAAATGAATGGATGAGACTTTTCTGTGTCTTACTATTTTATGTTGGACCTATGTTTCCTTTCCTATTCATGTTAGCTATTCAACATGTGGATTGGTATTCATCTGGAAATTCTTCCTTTAATGTTATATCAAAACTAAAAACCATGAATATAAAAATAAATACTGTATTAGATATTTAAAAAGTAAAAAAAGACCCACGACCTAGTGCAGTGCTAGTGAAATACAACTTAATAATGTCTGACTTTTAGAACATGTTGTTGCTATTCTTCAGTGTCCTCAAGTTGGTTTCAACTAATAGTGACCCTGTATAGGGTTTCTGAGGAGCAACTGGTAGGTAGGTTTGAAACACCAACTTCACATTTGCCAGTCCAGTGCTTATCCTATAGCACCACACCAGGATTCTAGAGCATAGATTATAATATATAAAATAAAGCAAACTGCATGGCAAAATCCTTGCTTGCTGAAAGTGAAGAGGACTTAAAATATTTACTGATGGAGATAAAAGAGCTCAGCCTTCAGTATGGATTGCATCTCAATGTAAAGAAAACAAAAATCCTCACCACGGGACCAATAAACAACATTATTATCAATGGACAAAAGATTGAAGTTGTCAAGGACTTCATTCTTCTTGAATCAACCATCAACACTCATGGAAGCAGCAGTCAGGAAATCAAACAATGAATTGCATTAGGCAAATCTGCTGCACAAGACCTTTGTAAAGTGTTGAAGAGCAAAGATGTCAGCTTGAGGACTAAGGTGTGCCTGACCCAAGCCATGGTATTTTCAATAACCTCATATGCATGTGAAAGCTGACAGTGAATAAGGAAGATCGTAGAAGAATTGATGCTTTTGAGTTATGGTGTTGGAGAAGAATATTGAAAGTGCCATGGGCTGCCAAAGGAACAAACAGATCTGTGTTGGAAGAAGTTCAGCCAGAATGCTCTTTGTAGGCAAAACTTCGTCTCTCGTACTTCAAACATATTGTCAAGAGGGACCAGTTGCTGGAGAATGATATCATGTTTGGTAAGGTGGAGAGTAAGAGAAGAAGAGGAAGACCCCCAGCGAGATGGATTGGTAAAGTGGCAGCATCAATAGGCTCAAGTGTGGCAACAATAGTGAGGTTGGCCCAGGATCGGGCAGTGTTTCGTTCTGTTGTGCATAGGGTCGCTATGAGTTGGTACCGACTCGGTGGCACCTAACAACAACAAGCGTGGCACAATAGCTAACAAATTTAAAAACAGCTTTTGTTCCAAGAAACCACGTAATAATATGGACAAACACTGGAAACAGCAGATACCCATCAGCAAAACAATGGCTAAACAATAGAATGGACTCCTGGTGGTGCTGTAGGATCAGCACTGGACTGTGAACCACAAGAACGGTAGTTCAAACCTGTTAGCTGCTCCTCAGAAACCCTATACATGTTGCTATAGGTCGGAACAGACTCCATGGTGCTTAACAACAACAACATACAATAGAATAATACTCAGTAACAAAAAGGAATCTACTAATATTAACACAACAAGGTAGACGTGAGTGAAAGAAAGCCTTAAATAAAATATTACATTGTTATTGTTAAGTGCCTTCCATGGGTTCTGACTGTGAGGATTTAAATCTTCATGGGCGCAGAAAGACTCATCTTTCTCCCACAGAGTGGCTGGTGGGCTCAAACTGTGAACTTCATGGTTCGCAATCCAGTGCTTATCATATGGAGCCACCACACTCCCCAAATATTACATTCTATATGATTATAATTATTTGGAATTCTAACAGGTAAAACTAATCTATGGTTTTAAAAAACCCTGCAGTAGTTATCTTCAGAGGATAGGAAGTGATTGTACACACAAGTGTATATATGTCACAAAAGCCCTTAAATGGTATACTTGTGATTTGTACATTTCACTCTATGCAAAAATTTGACCTTACAAGCAGTCACTTTTTCTTAAAAATCTTTCCTACTGTCTAAGCACTTCCCTCACTACTGCAGCAAGGCCCTTTGAAATGGAGATTCATGGACTCAAGACAAGAGTCTTGGGAGATAAGTCCCAATGGATGTCTTGTAATAAAATCACTGATGGCCCTTTTTTGTAGATAATCTTCTCAACTACATTTACATAAAGGAGTTGTGAAGATGAAGATAGTGTCTCTCTGGAGTAAATGTTCGTCATGCTCATTACCTAGTATTAAAGATTCAGGTTCCCCAAGCTAAGGTTTGTATCCTATAAAGGAAACCACTGTGTGTCCAGGTGTCACCTGATCCTCCTTTGCTTAGTAGTCCTGTGGAAAAGAAGGTTTGAAGAATAAAAGAAAATGCTAATATTTTGGCTACTACTATTTCTGTAAGTACTAAATTGCGTTTTATCTCTGACCTAGGAGTATCGTGTTTTCAAACATATCCATGAAACTGCCAGGCTAACTAGTCACCTAGTAAATAGAGTAAAATATTACAGTCTTCTAAGTTTTTACTGTTGTGATGATAAAGATGGGAAATTGACAGAGACATGGTTTTCTAGGAGAGAAAGGAAGAGGGCCTCATATACTGATTAGTCAGATATGGAAGAAATCCAGAGGAATTGATGGTAAATGTGTGGTGCTGTGGGTTACTGCGCTGGACTACAACGTTGGTTTGAACCACAAGGTAAATGGTTCAAGCTCACCAGTCACTCCTTGGAAGCCCTATACATGTTCGCTATGGGTCAGAATCGACTCTATGGCACTTAACAACAAGCAGCATGCTAACCAAACTGTATGGTCATTCAAGCAAAAAATAGCCACCACTTATGCAAAGCCATTTGAACTGCAAGGTCAGCAGTTCAAGCTCACCTGTCGCTCCTTGGAAACCCTATATAGAGTCACTATGGGTCGGAACCAACTCAGTGGCACTCAACAACAACAACATGCTTTTTGGAAACTTATCAGAAGTCCTAAAAGAGTTTTGTAACGTTAGCCATTCAGAACAGAGGACAGGTCAAGAGGTCAAGGATCAGAAAGAGGTCTGCCTGTAGGCACAGCTGAGATCAGGCTCATACCTGAGCACGTCTGATCCTGAACTGTAATCTTTTAGCTTCCTTAAGAAACCTCACAATATGAATTTGGTCTGTGTGTTCTGTGTGGTCACTACAATAGATGACCAAACCCAACTGAGCAGAGAGTGATGTGAGAGGGACAACTTGTGTCCAAACTGGTACAGCAGGTTGGAGAGAGGAAGCATGGGCTGACTCTCCTCTTTCTCATTTGAGAAGTTAGAGATGATGTCTACTTACAAGTCCATTTCACAAGGAGGAAGGCAACAGCTCCAGGACAGAGATGGACAGCACAAAATTTCATCATAATACTCAGAATGCAATTTAAATACTTTTGGGCTCCAGTTGGCCACAAGTAACTAAATGGCAGAAAGCGAAGTCACAGATAAGTAGAGACTAATGCACTGGGCTGCAAAGTCAGTTTGAGCTGCAAAGCCGGTGGTTCAAGCTTCACCAGCTGCTCCTCAGAACCAGGGTCGCTATGGGTCAGAACCAAATCGATGGCACTTAACAACTCTATTGCACTTAACAACTGTATTTTAAATATGTGAACTATAAGGTATATGAATTGCATTTCAATAAAATTTTTACCAAATGTTCCAACTCATAGAAACTCTGGTACAGGGTTTCCAAGGCTGTAAATATGGGAGCAGAAAGCCTCATCTTTCTCCCATGGAACAGTGGGTAGTTTTGAACTGCTGACCTGGAGGTTAGCAGCCCAACTCATAACCACTATGCTACCAGAGCTCCTATGTAGCCTACACTTTACTTCTGGTAATGAAGACGAATTGGGGTTTAGGCTAAGTATAGGAATGTAGATTTCAAGACAGCTGCCTGAATGGTGCACTGGATATTGTTCATTCTTCTCTAGGCAAGAGGAGTTCCTCACCTATCAGGAGATCAGCCTCTAGTAGGCTCTATGGTAACAGATCTTTATGATTGATAATTTTACCAATTAGATACTCTATCACAGGACACATTCTGGCATTTTGGATTGATCAACTCTGATATGGCTACCAGGTACACTCCTTTTGAAAAGAGGTTATTAGTTCATTACTGGGTTCATGTCAACTGAAAGCCTTTCCCTAGCAGACCTTGTGATAGTCCCATTTATGATTAGCCAACAAGGTGGGAAGGGTCCAAAAACCCACTAGTCAATTAAAATGGTAGATACAAGGATGCAGCTAGCCTTCTCCCAGCAGCATCGTGGCCTCTCATAAAAAAGTGGCATTTTACCCTTTTGGGAGAAGCCCTGGAGGTGCAATGATCAAACTGCTCAGCTAATGAAAAGGTCAATGGTCTGAACCCATCAAATGCTCTGCAGGAGAAAGGTGTGGCCCGTCAGCTTTACACCCTTAAAAACCCTATGGGCAGTTCTATTCTGTCCTTTAGGGATGCTATTAGTTGAAATAAACTCAATGACAATGAATTTGGTTTTATACCTTTGGGATAAACTTTATCTCCTACTCCACACTTAAAAGAAAGTCACTGGTCAAATAGGGTTCCTGATTCATCAAGGTTCCCCTAAATGTCCGGGCCTTGTTCAATAACGGTTCAGCTAGACGGAAACCCAATGGCGTTCACTGAGCTGCTGTAGCTGTTCATTTACAGCAAAAGTATAAATAACTGAAAATGGATGAAATCACTTAGCTCAGTCAACAGAACTCAAAGCCATTCTCATAGACCTGGTCAGTACTTTCCTTAATGAACCTTATATTTTCACCGACTAAGCTATTGCCAATGGCCTTGTTGCTTTGTCTACTACTTGGAAAACTACAGACTGGCAAATGAAAGGCACCCTTGTTTATTTCCCACAAATATCACCACAAATATATACACCACTATGTACTTCTAAGAATATTTCTGTTGGGTAAATATCTACTGAAATATTTGTTGTTGTTGTTGTTGTTGTTGTTAAGTGCCATCAAGTCGGTTCCGACCCATAGCGACCATGTACAGGGTTTCCGAGGGTGTAAATCTTTACGGGAGTAGAAAACCTCATCTTTCTCCCACGGAGCGGCTGGTAGTTTCAAACCGCTGACCTTAAGGTTCGCAGCCCAATTCGTAACCACTACGCTACCAGAGCAAATCAAAGAACCTGCTAATACGGCTCCCTGACTTACATAGCAATAATATACAGTAATAGCAGTTAAAAACTCTATTCTCACCTTTGTTGCCAAGGATTTGAGTTTTCCCAGTAGGGACTTTTTATTAGAATACACAACTTCTTCTTCATTATCTTCTCCTTCCATGATAGCACAGCTGTCTGCAGCTGGGAGCTCACATTCTTTTGAGTTAGTCGTCATTACTAATTTGGAGTATTTGTACTCCAGTCTAAGGAGTGATTAAAAGAAAGATAAATATATGAATAATATAAACAAATAAATGAGTGGATAAATAAGCAAATAAATAATTAGCAGTTTGGTTTACTATAAATTAATGCTTATTTTTGGTGGTTGCCTTAGACGGCCCTTAACAACAACAACTATAACAGAAATACCACAAGTGGAAGGTTTTGACGAACAGGAATTTATTCATTCACAATGTAAAGGGCTAGACGTTTGAATTCAGCTCTAACAACAGGCTTTCTCTCCCTGCCAGCTCTTGGGAAGGTCCCTGTCTTCAATCTTCTCCTAGGTCTAAGAGTTTCTCAACACAGGGACCTTGGACCCTGGGTCCAAAGGATGCACTTCATTCTGAGTTATTTCTCATCAACTAACTGTAGGACCCTTTCTCTGAGTTCATTTCTGTCCCCATTTATCTCTTGTAAGATAAAAAGTGCTGTGGGCCGCACCCCAGGGAAACTCCTTACAGCAATCAGGACTATGATAGGATTAAGGTTGCTGTTGTTGTTGTTGTAGTTATATGCCGTGGAGTCGATTCCAACTCATAGCGAAGGTTACTGTGTCCCACCCTTAATCCTTTTACACTTGTTATCACATCATGTGAGGTCATTATATAACTGACATGGTACATTATTATATAATTCATGGCCCAAGTAAGTTGACACATATTTTCAGAGGACACAACTAAATCCAGGACAGTGGCCATACTTCAACTCACTGAATTGTATTTGTATATGCAATTGAATTACATATCATTGCCCCACCAACAACTGCCCCTTACCTCTAGTCAGAGCTATGAGTTCACTCATTTCTCCATCATTTCTAGATTTTCAGAGAGGCGGTACAAAGCAATGAACTCTACCATTGTTTTATATTGATTGAATTGTCCGATTAAGAAGAAATTATGGAAACAAAGAGAAACTTTGGGGTCTAAAGATATTTTCTTAATTTATGGGTATTTGGATACCAATTTAGTATAAGGTGGTTCAAAGTTTACTTAAAAAATCTGAGAATACCAAACATGACTTGGTCTTTAGTATCTTTACAAATCACTGATTGATTAACTCTTAGCATCCAAAATATTATTGTCTCTAGATATTACAATATTGAACTTTCACAACCCCATTGACATGTAAATTATTTTAAAAGATTCAAATAATGTAATGAGTCAATATTCATTCAGAGATTAAACTCAATATTGAACTCTAAATTTTTTAAGTCCTGGGTAAATAAATGTGACATTTGTCTAAATACTTAAGCCTGTTTCTTTGTAACTATATACCCACAAGAAATTGAAAAGAAAAAGGTGGGTCAAGAAGACTTACTGATGTCATAAAAAGAGCAACAGACACAGGAAGAAAATCTGCCTTTCCCTCTCAGCTGTGTTACCTGAGTACCCAGGGGCCATAGTTTTCTTAGTTTGCATAATAGATGGGTTGACTTCAATGATCTTTGATATTCTAAGATATCTCTAATAAGATAAAAATCCTTTTGCTTGCTTTCTTAAAAGCCTTTTCTCTAGTTCTTTTACTAGGAAAGATGTCTTATGTCTCTGAGAAAAGCTTTTGAATGAAATGATTCAATCTAAAATGCTCACAACAAAACAGAGCCTCCAGTTCTATTACAATATAGTTATTTCAATGAAGTTACTTACTTTTGATTCTTTTTCCAGAAATAGCAAGTTAGGGCCACCAGCAAAACAGCTGTAAAAGCTCCCACACCTGCTCCCACTTTTAGCCAAAAGTCAACTGTTTCACAGGTTGACAACTTTTTCTCAGGCAAAGAAATTCCTTTAATGCACCATTTAGGTTCATTCCATACATATAAAATTTCCTTTAAAAAAAATGCACACACAAATAGCATGATTAATGACATTCATTGTGAGAGTAAAATGTGTTACAAGGTGAATTTCTCAACTAGAAAGAGGAAGAGTTTTGCCAATCCTTTACTCATGGTAGGCATAGAAGTTTATTTCAGGAAGTTCACCATTCAACTATAGAAGCTCCAGGGAGGGAATAAAGAGATCGAGAAGAGCTTGAATAGAAAGTAATAGATTATAATGTAGCACAGCCAAATCGAAGTGGGTTGTTGATCAGAAGACTCACTACATTCTGAGGCAGTTAAATAAAAATGCCTTCATTTAAGCACATATTTTGGACTATATTCCTCAAATTCAAGATTATCTTTGATGTCATTCAAAACCAGAATTTTAACCAACAATATTAATCAAGTTATGCTTCATTCAAAACCATAGGTTTTTTTAATAGGTTGGTTAATATTGTTAGTGACAAGGGTGTCACCTGACTATCATGAAGATTCATTTTTTTCCTTCATGCTCCCCCTAAGTAAAGGAGCAAACCCTGCATTCTGGGCACGTTTGAGTAACATGGAGTCGTGGTTTGGCGCTGTGGGTTAATGCACTGGACTGCAAAGTCAGTTTGAACCACAAGGTCAGTGGTTCAAACTTACCAGCTGCTCCTCAGAAACCCTATACAGGATCGCTATGGGTCAGAACAGGCACGGTGACACTTAACAACAACATGAGCACCATGTCTAGTATGCTTAGCAGGGGTGATGTGGAGGTAGGTAGCCAGACTGCACCTGTCTCCCATGCTAAAATATGAAAGCTATTATTGTGGGTCATCACTATCCACACCAAGTATTCTTATCCTCCCAAAGTTGTTGCTGTTGTTAAGTGTTGTCAAGTCAATTCTGTCTCAGAATAAATAGTAATCCTGTATAGGGTTTTCAAGGAGCTGTCAGTGGATTTGAACAGCTGACCTTGTGGTTAGCAGTCCAGTGCTAATCTTACAGTAGATGACTACTTCTTTACTGTAATGTTTTATTCAGACTGCAAGTTGCAATTTGCAACATACTAAGTTTCAAGCAGCAATTGGAAAAAAAAAAAGATATAACAAGACAAATCAGAATGCAATGCATAGTTCTTATGTATTTCAACATGTAGAGCAGCCAGTAGCCATTTGCATGATGATTCTACCTATTGACTCTTAGAAAGAGGGCATTAAGTCTCTACCTCACTGCATCTCATCTAATTTTCTGGTGTATCGTCATAACTTTGGCCTATACCATATCAGAAATTGAACACTTTATCATTTAATTTTGTGTTAATATAAATTTCAATTGGGGAGCCCAGTAACTCCATATAGTAAACACTGGACTGCAAACCACAAGGTCCAAGGTTCAAGACCGCCAATCACTCCAGGGGAGAAAGATGAGGCTTTCTGCTTCTGCAAAGATTTAAAAGCCTCGGAAACCCTATACAGAGTCACTATGAGTCAAAACCAGCTCAAAGGCATTAAATAACAACAACGATAATTTGCAATTAGTCATGAAACATTGTACAGGAGAATCTTACTTTGACCAAAAGTTTGGTCCAAGTTTTGGATAAGACCTTTCAGCATGTTTTTAGAAATGAACATAGTGATTAGATTTTGTTTTGTTTTAATATATGCCAATTATAACATTTCCATGAAAGTTAATACAAATAAATTGCTTTTAAAATGAAATGCATTACTTTCATAAATAAAAAATGAGGAAATAAATGCATAAGCATTTTGAAGTTCAACTACTACATCCATAAGTATCATGACAATAGGGAAAAAAAAATTCACTGTAGTCAATAAATACTGACTTCACTTGAAAAGCATCCTAACAAGGGGGGTTGGTGGGGGGGAAGACTGTGCAGGAGTGTATATGGTTTTATCAAAGGGGAAACACTTAATGATAGGCTGGAAAGTCCAATGAGGAGTTCTGGTGTGAAACTGTAGGATAAGCACTGGACTGTACCAGCTGCTCCTTGAAAACCCTATGCAGGTTCACTATGAATTAGATCCGACTCAACAACACTTTGGAGTACTGGTGTGGTACTGTGGACTAATGCATCAGACTGCAAAGCTGTTTGAACTGCAAGGTCGGTGGTTCAAGCTCACCAGCTGCTCCTTGGGAACCCTATACAGGGTCTCTATGGGTCGGAATCGATTCAATGGCACTTAACAACAAAAGCACTTTATAACAACAACGTCTGATGACACTCATATGAATGAATCTTAAAACTTAAAAAATAGTGTAAACCCAGAATGTTTAGCTTGTCAACCAGTTCCTCAAATACTGTCAAAGAAAAACGCTATTGGCAAAATTTCTTGAGTCATTCTATAATGATTATTTAGAAAGCATCTTGACTTCACCCAGTTATATACCACTGGTAAACAAGAAAATGGCTGAAACTATAGTTAAAAAACATTCTCCAGCATGTAGAGAAGATTTGTGAACAGGGTGAAATACATTTGAGGATAAATTATAAAGCATTCCTCTTAGTGATAACTCAGTATCTCTTCAAATCTCTGCTACTGTATGGCACTTATAAATAAAGCTTAATACACACTTAGAGCCTGGTATAGATTTTTCAGATCCAATTTGATAAGAGCACTTTTATCACAAGTTGTGCAGCTCTGTGGCTCACACAGGCTATATGTGGAGAATTTATTTTGTTGCGTAAATCTAACTTCATATACAACTGGACTAGATAAACTCAAAGAATTGTGAAAGTACACTGTAGTCAATGTAAAATGAAAAACTGTAAATAATGGAGCAGAAAATAGAACTGAAATGTAGTGGAACTATTACAAATAGAAAAGATATTCAGCAATATTATGTAATCTCTTTTTTTAATATGATAAAGATTTGATATCAGAGGAATCCACCCTTATTTCTGGACATAATGGAAAACACTGTGAAATGTATTATTTGTATTATGTTAAGATCACTTATTGAAATATTTTATTTAGAGACTGGGACTGATCATATCCAAGTTTGCTTGTAGCTGCACAGAATATACAAAGAAGATTTAAAATGTTTGTGGAAAAATAGAATTAAAAGACAATGAAATTTTCCCATGAACTTTTAAAAGCCCACCTCAAACTAAGCAAAGTGTATTAACTCAGGGATGATTTTCACATGTTTCTACTTAGAACTCAATCTCGTTTAGCAAATATTTTCAAAATTGACTTCTGGGTGTAAAACATGGGCCTGCTTAACTACTTTTTTTTCTAACTTTGGAACAATAAGAGGAAAAATCATGTTTCAATGCACAAATCATATAAAAGTGTTCCAAAAGATATTGTCATTATTGTTAAGTGCCATCGAGTTGGTTCGGACTCACAGCAACCCTGTATAGGGTTTCCAAGGTTCAAACTGACCTTGCGGTCCAGTATTTATCCTACTGTGCCATACCAGGACTCCAAAAGACAAATATTTAGAAAGAAATATTTAAAAAGAATAGCAACTATCTGCTTCCACCATTCTTATAACATGCTGAAAAGAGCTTTTTAAGGAACACAGTTTGAATGAGATAAAATTTGAGAACTTGGCGTGGCATCACTGCCTTCATCTTCTAATCATTGCCTTCTAGAAGGCAAATATTACAAAACATTTGGATAAACTGTCATTTAGCTTTTCAAAATCCTCAAATTTTGTGTCCAAAGAATGCAGCTTAGCTTTTTATTTACTCTTAAAAGTGATCAGAAGATAATAAGTTTATTATAATTTCAGAATACGGGTAAAGAAGAATTTCCACTGCAAATCAGAAAAGTTACATCATCATTATTATAAGGATTCATAAAAAAACAACATTTTTGTGAAAGTGGAATTCTCATCCTTGACTCACTTAAAAACATTAAAAAGAAACTAGCCTAACAGGGTACTAGATAAGTGAGTAGCATTTTCCCTGTATGCTCTGAGCCGAAATGAACTTACCTATAGGTAATGTTTGATGAATTGGATACATTTCTTTTCAGTGCTATTTAGGGATTTTTCCTATTTTGTATTAAAATATTAGTAATATATAAATTTACATTAGCTTTAAACTTGAACTTTATTATAAAGTAATGCTCTACTTCATTTCTAGGTATATTCCTGTGTGTTTGAGTTTGTTGTTTTATGCTGTGGAGTCGGTTCCGACTCATAGTGACCCTGCATGGGGTTTCAGAATGGGAGCAGAAAGCCTCATCTGTCTCCCGCAGAACAGCTGGTAGTTTCAAACTGCTGACCTTTGCGGCTCGCTGGCCAATTCGAAACCACTATGCTACCAGTATGACTATACACTACGTATAATGTACAATATATTTCTTACTACAGAGTTACTGTCAGTTGAATTTGAAGAACACCAATTTAAACAATACTTATCTATGTTTCCTTTCCCCAATCTCACCCCAGAGTGAACACAATTGCAGCCTGGTGTCCTGTATGCATGGGATTGGATGGGGGTTCCCCAATTTCTTCCACTTTCACACTCTTACCTGGCAGTCTGCCAAGCAAGACCCTTCAAGACTTGACTTGTCAGAAAAACTTTTACTCATGCTGCCTTTATTCTTGCGAGCATTCTACCCTGCTGCCTGTCCAAGAACACCTGTCTATCCATCCAATCACACTTCCCTTCTAGATTTCAGAAACCCCAACAAGCCCTCAGATTTCCTGATGCCCTTCTGCACTAGGATTCCAGCAGAGATACTGATTTATTCTCATCTGTACTTCTGTGCTGTCATTTCAGTGTCATTTGGAGAGTGAGAAGTAGTAAGAAAGTGCTCCTAAAGCAAGCCAGGTTGGTTTTCCAAGCTGGTACAATAAAATGGGTCTCTCAAGCACTGCTGGAGAAATGCAAATCAACACAACCAAAGCAGCTTAGTGATACGTATCAAGAGCCTTGAAATCTATTCCCTATATCAAATTTACCTCTTTCTAGTAGTAAACTCTAAAAAAAGAATCGAATCTCCAACAAGAATGTTTTATTATAGTTATTTACAAGACTTTGCTTTAAAATTTTCTGAAATGACCAACAGAAGAAATAATAAATCCCAAATTATAGAAATATAATATTTATCAACAATTAAAATCATATCTTCAAAAATAGTGTTTCATGACACAAATTTTTTGTGTTACAGTAAACATAAAGAGCTAACTTAATAAATACGTTGGGTAGGATCTCGATTTTATTTTTAAATAACAAATAAGCAAGTAAAAACAATGCAGAGAAAAATAGAAAAAACACAGACTGTGTGCATGCATGTGTGTGTCTATTAGAGAATAAACATACAATGAAACTGCAAAAAAGTTTAATTATTTTTGAGTGACAAGATAAAAAAGTTAGAATTTTGTCTTCTTTTTGCTAGTCTGCGTTTCCTAAATTGTCCATACTAACTTGTATTGCTTTTACATTCAAAAAAAATTTTTTAAATATTAAGTATAGTCTACTTTCCTGCAGTTCTAGTCACCCAGAATTGCACTTAGTAGGAAGCACTTGTCTTATTCTAACGACCAGGAGGATAATTTCTAATAAGCATTAGTTGATAGTTAGGTAGAGAAATGTTACCACCACTTCAAACCTGCATGGCTTCTAACCTAGTTAGATGGTTTTCTCTGTGTGTTAGATAAGAAATATCGCAACCAGTGCAGTAGTGATGAGAGGAAGAACACAAAGGAGAAAGGGGTGGGAAGAGAAAGAATAACTAGCATTTACTGAGCATTTACCCTATGTCAAACACTGTGGTAGTCATATTAATATCCTTGTGAAACATTCGTCCCCATTTGAAAGATGATGAAAATGAGGCATAGATTGGTAAAATCACCTGTCCAGGATAACATAGCAGAGCATGTGCAACTAGATGTTGGCTTTAGACTGTCTGACTCCAGAGCCTGTGCTTTTAATCTTTATGATATGCTGTCTCTGAAAAACTCCATTTTCTTGAAACCCTTCTGGTCACCCGGTTTTACTGTTTGTCCTTTATTTCTCTCACCCTTTAGGCCTAACTTCATGGTTACGCTCTCTCTCAATTCTAGCCTTTTTGATAAAGCCTGTGCTGGTTTGATCCAGCCTCACTATTCATAACCTAAACAGCCAGGACCCACCTGTTCAGACATCACCCCAATGGGCAGTAGTTCCCTTGGCCTCACTGCAACTGAAAGGTATGACTCAATTAGATGTGTGCACATGTTTCAAACAGGATGGCTGAAGAAAATTATTGCATAGTTTAGACAATTATCTCCTTAAAACATGCTTTCGCTTTTAGGTATGTTTCTTGTGGTGAATCAGTACTACCATGTTAATTACACCTATAACTTGACTAACATTGTGGTTTACTGGTATTTCTTTAATATCCAGATAACACATCCCATAACTCCCTTGTCCTAATTCATTTTCCCTCATCACAGGGCACATCCACAGTTATGGGCATTTAACTATCAGACTTGATTTTAAATGCATATTGATGTCACATTCAGTTAATTATAAGCTTTAGCCAGGTCTCTGAACCTGAGTTTCTATGGTATAAGGGATGTCAAACTAACCAAGGATATCTTCAATGACACATTTCTGCTTCAGTAGGTTTGCCCTCTTACCTGAAGTCCTCTCTTACAGGCTCCCTCAATCTCATGGAAGTCATGCTCCGTGCAGAGAGGGCAAGCTTCGGCACTCTCCCACAGGAAATAAAACGTACATCCATCACAGGTGCCTGCTGGACACTTGCTAAAACAACAGCAATAGCAGCATTTATATAACAATCAATCCAGTTCAATCAACAATTGAGTGCCTACTGAATACTGGAGAGTACTGTGTGAGAAGCTGCAGATACATGTTTGGGGGAAAAAATCTAAAGGTGATATAAGCAGATCATGACAAGACTCCAGGAAGGCTTCTTGGTAGAGATGATGTCTATGATAAGTCTAGAATATCCAGGAACCAGAATGGAGGGGGAAAAGGCAAGGAAGGGTATTCTTACAGGAGGGATGAGCTATGCATTCTAATAAATTCATGAACAAAAAAGCCATTCCCACTAGAATTTGCATCCTGGTCCTTTGTTGAAGATCAAGTGACCATAGATCAGGGGTGGGGATTGTCAGACCCACTGGCTATATGGATGATGATATGTCCTGGAGTCGGTTTCGACTCCTAGCCACCCTGCATAGAGTTTCTGAGGCTGTAAATCTTTTAGGCAGCAGAAAACTTCATCTTTCTCCTGTGGAACAGCTGATAGTTTTAAACTGCCGACCTTGAGGTTAGCAGCCCAACTCATAACCACTATGCTAAGTTATACCCTCGAAATGATTTGGCCAAGGAAACCACCATTCCAGCCTGCACGTTGTTGTAGTTAAGTGCCATTAAGTTGGTTGTGACTCATAGCAACCCCATACAGGGTTTACAAGGAGCAACTGGTGAGTTTGAGACACTGATCTTCTGGCTCAAACTGACTTTTTGGCCGAGTGCTTATCCTACAGCACCACAACAGGACCGAGTTAATTCAATGTTTGACTAAATAAATATGTTGTTGTTGTGAAGTGCCATGGAGTCAATTCCGACCCATAGCAATCCTGTGTAGGGTTTCCAAGGAACACCTGGTGAGCTTGAACTACTGACCTCGCAGTTCAAACGACTTTGCTGTCTGACGCATTAACCGACAGCGTTACTCCAGGACTCCATTAAATATGTTGTTTTTGTTAAGTGTTGTTGAGTCGGTTCCAACCCATAGTGACCCTGTATAGGGTTTCTGAGGAGTAGCTGGTGAGCTTGAACCGCTGACTTCACAGTTCAAATGGCCTTGCAGTCTGGCACCGTAACCCACAGCACCACACCAGGACTCCCCACTAAATATAGCAGGTGAATTAAGTTGATAATTTTGTATGGCCCTCAAGGATGCTATAAATTTTGGCAGAAAAAGGTTCCCTACCCCTGCTGTTATACGGCCTCCCACACCAGGACTCCATACCATAATAGGAAGAATTAAAAACAAAAAAACAAAAAAACACTTTTTAAAGTTTGAACTTCAAATGCTTTTTTGGTTATACACAGTCCAAAACCATAATTTTCATTCAACTTACAAATAAAATTTCATATTCTTAGTTAAGTATATTATAAGGTATTCTAGAATGTGAGCACTAAAAAAATCTATAGGTCTAAACATTGATTGCATAGCCACATTTCTACATTTTCAAATTGTCTGTGTGATGTAGACTGAATAGACATGGATGGGAAATAAATAAAAGTAATATTCTCCAGAAACTGAAACTGAGTATTATTTCCCAGGTCTCAACACATGGTGAACTGGGAGGAATGCTTGGATAAATGACTTCATTCTTATATGCTTTAATTTATCTGGTGTGAAAAGGGAGTAGATTACAAATAGGTTATTTTTAATAATAATAATAAACTAAGTACAAGAAAATCATGCCACACAAAAATCATCCCTACTTTCCATCTTACAAGTCAGTAAAAGCAAAAAAAATTATTGCTTTCCTATATAAAGCAAACATAAGAGGGCTTCAAAAGTTCATGAAAAAATGGAATTAAAAGATGACGGAATTTTTCATGACCTTTTGAAGCCCCTTTGTATATATCTCCAAAATCAGATGCCATCAAGTCAATTCCTACACATTGTGACATATAGGGAGTTCTGGTGTGGCACTGTGGGTTAACGCAATGGATAGCAAATTCAGCTTGAACCACATGGTTGGCAGTTCAAGCTCACCAGCTGTTCCTCGGACTCCCTATACAGGGTTGCTATGGGTCATAGCTGACTCAACAGCACTTAACAACAGAATAGGCAAGTGTATATATAGTGACCAAAATTTATTAGTGGTTAGTTGCCAGGAGCAGGAGAGAGGGAATGTGAAGGGGCACTCATTGATTAGGGGAAACGGAACTTCTGTTAAGTCTGACAGCAAAATTCAGAAACTGCTAATAATGATGGTTGAACATGATAGACATAATTGATACCTTGAAATGTACAATGTGAAATAGTAAACGCTTAATTAAATATATGCATGTTATAAGGAGGGACCAGTCCCTGGATAAGGACATCATGCTTGGTAAAGTGAAAAAGAGAAAGACCCTCAATAAGATGAGAGGGCAAGCTTCGGCACTCTCCCACAGGAAATAAAACGTACATCCATCACAGGTGCCTGCTGGACACTTGCTAAAACAACAGCAATAGCAGCATTTATATAACAATCAATCCAGTTCAATCAACAATTGAGTGCCTACTGAATACTGGAGAGTACTGTGTGAGAAGCTGCAGATACATGTTTGGGGAAACAGTAACAGCAGCAATGGGCTCCAGCGTAACAATAATGACGATGGCGCAGGACCACATAGTGTTACGTTCTGTAATGCACTGGATCGTTATGAGTTAGAACTGACTCATATATATGAGAGTACTGATGTGGTACTATAGAATAAGCACTGGACTGCTAACTCCAAGGTCAGCAACCCCACCAGATGTTGCTATAAGTTGAAACCGACTCAACAGCACTTAACGGCAAATATATAAAAATATATATACAGATATATGGACTCCTGGTGTGGTGCTGTGGGTTAATATGCTAGACTGCAAAGTCAGTTTGAACCACAAGGTAGGTGGTTCAAGCTTACCAGCCACTCCTAGGAAACCCTATACAGGGTTAATATGGGTCAGAACTGACTTGACGGAACATATATATATATATATATGCAATTGTTGTTGTTGTTGTTGAGTGCCATCGAGTCGGGTCCGACCCATAGCGACCCTGTACAGGGTTTCCGAGGGTGTAAATCTTTACGGGAGTAGAAAGCCTCATCTTTCTCCCGCGGAGCGGCTGGTAGTTTCGAACCGCTGACCTTAAGGTTCGCAGCCCGATTCATACCAGAGCTCCTTAGTTGATAAATAGAAAATTAGGAAGAATCTTTGAGGATGTAATTTTTATCTGCATGACAATGACTTACAACTTTTAAAATAACTAACTATATTTTTTATGATCATTTAACAATAATTACTAGTATGCTTTTCCTCCTCAAATTATTTTCTATTTTATCTTTCCAACACTGCTTATCATGGAGAAATAAAGGAATAAGTATGTTAAAGCTTTAGAAAAAATGACTCAATAAATTTTATAAAAGAAGGAAAAAATTAATCACATTTTCAAAAAGCCATAGAGAAAATACTTGGACTACAAGTCTTACTGAACTTTCAAAGGATTGTGTGTTTTTCCACAAATGACTTAACCTCAGCTGGCCTCATTTTTGTAATTTACTAAAAGCAGAATTGCTGCTATTCACCCATTCCAGAGTCGTTACATAGGTTAAAATGAGAAAACAATTGAGAATATTTAAAGCACTGAAAAAAATTAAAAGCTCATTAACAATACATATATTTTCAAAAGAAATACAGAAATAGCAAGAAAAAAATCAAAGAAGATACTAAAGTAATTTATAAAGCTGCCATTTAGGTGTCAAAATTCACAATGAGTCCATGTCTTTTTTCTTAGGAGACTTCACCTTTTAAAAGATACTCTCAGCTGAAAGTACTTTAGTGTGGAATCACTTCTTTAATTCTTCTAACCCAATGAATCACATAAGAAATTTGATCCTTTGTTATAAACCTAAGTTTCACAGTTTGAATCAGGCCTTCCCTGTGAAATGACAAGAATACCCGAAGTAGCAATAGTGCTTTTGTATACAATGAAGATGGGGGGGAGGGGGGGTGAATGCCAGAGGAAATAAACCACAAAGATTCTCTCTCTCCCACCAAAAGAAGGGAAAAATAAATGGTAAAACAGATTGATGCTTTACTTGCTAAATATTTCAACTATTTTCTCTTTAGTTGCCTGAGTTAATTCTGTTTTTACTCTCCTCCCTCCAGTTTTTAAACAATGAATGCAGAGGTGGTACTAAATGGGCTACTTTTATAACCTTTGGTCGATGTGTTCACACAAACCTACGAGAAAAAATGTCTAAAGATGCAGGTTCATGGTCATGGATATGTAGGTATGTAGGCCTAGAATTCTACAGGATTACCTAGAATGCTGTGAAATCCAGATAGAAAAATGACAATAAGAAGGACCTCAACTTGGAATCTCCAGATTTCAACCTTTGCTTTATACATTGGAACAGTACTAAGACTATGTTAACATACAGCTCAATCTCATTTTAGCAAGTTAGGCCTGAGGGTTTATTATGAACTAAATTATGTTGACATAATTTGATATGTTGACACTCTAACCACTGGCATCAGTGAACTTGACCTTGAATGGAAATAAGAGTCTTCGTGATGTTATCAGTTAAATTAACATAAAGTCATACCAGAGTATAATGAGTCTTAATCCCATCTGAGTGATGCTCTGATGTAAAAGCACTCACACACAAGAGAAAAAGGAAGGGCACCATGTAATGCTGCAGCTGCAATGCCTGTAGCTATACCACAAGCTAAGCGATAGATAAACAGATTCTCCCTAAAAGCCTCAGAAGGAATCACCATGTCTGACACCCTGGTCTTTGTCTCACAACCTCCAGAACTGTTCTTTAAAGCCAGCAACTTTCAACTTAAAAAAAAAAAAAATGGGGGTGGCATTTTGTTATAACAGATCTAAGAAACCATTACAGAGTTCTAAAGTGCAAAATCTTTACTAGGGGAGAAATTAGACTGAGCTTCTAAATAAATCTTCCTGAGAGCTGCAAGGTCAGCAGTTCGAAACTACCAGCTGTTCCGCAGCAGAACA